ACACTGACCCTGCAGAGCCAACTGTCCCCTGCCAAGCCGAGGGGACATTGCAGCACTGAAACCTCAGCCCTCCCACACGGTCCCTCCCCAGCACACCCATCTCGCCCCAGGGTGTGTTGAGCCTCATAACCCTCAGCCTTGAAGCCATAAAATGAGTCAGGGATAAAGGTGGTGGCAGCAGCAGCAGCAGCACATGCCCAGGGTGGGGGTCCCTGAGGATGATGTGATGCTGAGCTCAGTGGCTTCCAGCACCCTCCTGCCAGCTCCTGGGACAGGAGACCCCCAGACAGGGCTGGGCAGCGTGGGAGAAGGAAAGGGAGCAGATGAACCTGGGAAAAGCCACTTGGTAAAGCAGAGCAGGCGCTGGTGTGCAGCAAACAGCCCTGCTGAGCTATCCCTGCAGCACAGACACTGCTCAGTGCCATCAGGGACTGCACAGGACCACGGCAGCACATGGCTCTGCCAGCTTATCTCCCATCTCTAGGCAGGACTAGCTAGTGCTTGCAAGTGATTTAATAGAAATATGCTGTAGGCTGTGGTTTCTAGTAAGTAAACATGTGCCTTAATGCCCCACATGAAACTAAGAGCTGCCAAGGAAGTTGCTGCATCTTTCAGGAAACAGCATTACTGAGGCTCCAGAAATCTTTGGTGGTTCATTTTCATGCTCCAGAGCTGTGCTAGTGCCAGAGGGTCTTCCCTGAGGGGGGACAGTGTCTGGAGGGTCTTTTCCAGTCACGCAGAGTCCAGGTGCAGTGCTCTGGGGCTAAACACCCCGTGCAGGGATCCTGGGCTGCAGGCGAGCAGCGTGCGCTGCCCTGAGCTGTTTGACTTGTGCAGCCGAGTGTGGTGTAACCCGGCCTTGAAGGGACTTTGAAAGTGGAAAATACCGGATCAGGAAATATGAGTCACTCCCGGGCTTTGGAATTTATTGATGGATTTGTTTCAATTGCAGTGGGGCTATCTCCAGCTCACATGTGCAAAATAAACAAGGTGCTCGGAACTGGTGTCCACAAATGTCACCCTAGGAGTTGCAGGAGTGGCTCTGAGTCGAGATCGAGGGGGATTAGGAGAAGGGGCAGCAATTAAAGGAATAAGGCACTTAGCACTGTGAGCGCCGGGGACCACTTCCAGTCCTCAGAGCACATGTGCCTTGGTGTGTCTGATCCCTAAATTCTGGCCCAAACTCCTGGGCACTGGCTCCGGCCGAGCGTGCCTGCCCCGTCTCACGAGTGTCCAGCACGTCTGCCAAAGTGGTGGCTGAGATCAGTACCACGAGGCCATTTTTACCTCCTCTCTGTCGTTTTTCCTTCACCTTCTCGAGTTTATATGTCCCACTTTCCCCTACAAGCATGATGGCTAGAAGTTAATGAGTGTTGAGAGTCCTCATCTGTCCCCCAGGGCTGGAGCTTGGACTTGGGGGACAAAACAGCAAAAGGCTCGGGATGTGCCATGTCCCAGCGCCATGCTCCAGTGGAGCTGGAAGCCAGTGCCAGCAAAGTCCTTCCCTGCTGCTGCTTTGCTGTTTATTAACACAGAGTTGAGGTGCCACAACCAGGGTCTGCACCCTGGGGTGGTGGGGGCTTTGCTGCTCCCTGCCCTGGGCCTTGCTCTGACAGTGCTGTCCTGCCTTGCTCCCTGGCAGATCTCCGTTTCGGGGGGTGGGCTGCCCCCCGTGAGCACCCTGACCAACATCCACAGCTTGTCACACCACAACCCGCAGCAGTCCCAGAACCTCATCATGACGCCGCTCTCGGGAGTCATGGCCATCGCACAGAGTAAGTCACCCCAGCTCACCTCTGTGCTCCCTCCTGCTCTGGGCATGGGGAACCCTGCCTGCTCCTGCTGGCACTGAGCTCCCTGCCCTGCTCTCTGCCCCCTCCAGGTCTGAACACCTCGCAGGCGCAGAGTGTGCCCGTTATCAACAGCGTTGCTGGCAGCTTGGCAGCTCTACAGCCGGTCCAGTTCTCCCAGCAGCTGCACAGCCCACACCAGCAGCCTCTGATGCAGCAGTCACCTGGCCATATGACACAGCAGCCCTTCATGGCCACTGTGACCCAGCTGCAGAACTCACACAGTAAGTGTCAAGCTCCCAAAAATCAGCTTGTTGCTCTCCTGCTCTCCCTGCCCAAGCTGCCATCCTTGGCTGCTGCCCCTCTCCCATGGGTACCAGCCCACGGGATGCTTGGGGTGGGATGGCCACATCCCACCTCATCCTCTCCTTCCCACGTGTCCAGCCACATCCCTTCAGTCCCCACTGCTTTCCCTGGGTGAGGTGCTACCTGAGAACACAGTAGCTTGGAAGCAACAATTGGTTCTTCCCAAGACTTGTTTTATCTCTTCCATGTCTCCTCAATGCCCATTCCTGCCCAGCATCCCACGACCTGCCATAGCACTGCGCTTGGCTGCTCTGCCCTGGTGTGAGGGCTGTGGGTGGCTTTCCCCTGACTTGTCTCCCTCCTCTCTGCAGTGTATGCACACAAACAGGAGCCTCCCCAGTATTCCCACACCTCACGCTTCCCCTCGGCGATGGTGGTGACGGATACCAGCAGCATCAGCACACTCACCAACATGTCTTCCAGTAAGCAGGTAATGACCCGCTGAGGGGGCACAGGGTGCTTTTCCCCCTCTGGATATGGAGCTGGAGGTGGGAGTAGCAGAGACAAGCCCTCGAGTGCTGAGAATTCCAGCCCCTTCAGGGCTCCTAAACATCTGCTTGAAGGTAGCATGATGGGGGTTTGGGTGATTTTGTCTAACACTTGGTGGTACCAGTTGGGCTGTGCTCATCTCTGAGGCAACTCCATCACAGTGGGAGCAGTGGGGTACAAATTGGGCTGAGCAGGTTGGACCAAGCAGGCTCTGCTGCCTGTGCCCAGGAGGATCCACCCTGGTTGGAGCTGAGTGGAGGAACAGGACTCTGATGCGCCCCAGCTTCCCCCAGCCCATAAACCTTTATCATCTGCCCAGTGCAGGTGTAAGACCAGACTTATCCTGGTTCAAATCAGGTGTGTGAGGCTTTCCTGAGACAATAGTCCCTTTCTGAGAGCCAGCTCTGGGGACTGTGGGAAATGTGTGGCCCTTATTGATCGCTAGATAAATAAGAGAGAGCCTTGAACTTGTATTCAGATAAACTTTCCTACCGAGGTTTGACAGGGGACAGGGGAAAAAATGTCTGCAATGACCACAGAGTAAATACAGTGTGGGATTGCTCTGAGATCCCCTGTGGGATCACTGTGAGACCCCCACTGGGGGCAAAGGCTGGGACTGGGGCTGCACAGGGGGATGTAGGAGTGGGGCTGTCTGGGGGTTTGGGATGCTTGGGAAGGGTCATGCAGACCCATCCCCCGGGGGTGCTGCTCGCTGAGGTGCTGGGGGTGCCCTGTCTGGGGCAGGAGGCAGTCAGGCACGGCCACCCCTCGGAGCACCATTTCCTCCGTGCGGCTTTATCGGCACATCTGCTGCGCGCTCAGCCCGAACTGCCCCTGATTAATCGTGTTCTCCTGCCTTTGATGCAGGGCTGGCTGCAGGGAGCCCTGGGCACACAGGAAATGTCCTGGCAGCAGATAGCTCCCGCCCGCCCCCTCTGCCCCGATCACCCTACCCTGACGTGGTGCTGCTCAGGGTCGTGGGGGTCCTCTGGTTTTGTCTCTGCATCGTGGTTGTGCACTTTAATTAGAGCTGGAGGAGGTCTCATGGCTCAGGAGATGGGAGATGGGCCCAGGAGATCTCCTGCAGCAGAGACACCCCCAACATTACCCCCCATACGTGATAAATAAGCTCATGCTGCTCCTGTAAGCACCAGGGCAGGATCTGTCCCCTGTCCACCCCAGCGAAGCCTCCCAGCCCCTCAGGCCTCTCTTCCTACCAACCAGCTAAAGCTGGAGAAATCTGTCTTTGGATATTGATTTCTTTCTCAGTGGTCACTGGTTTCATTAGCAAGGGGTGAATGAAGTGTGACAGACGCAGCATTGGGGCCCCGTAAATGCTGCTCACCCCCCAAATGCCTGAGTGGTTTTGGTGATTTGGGTTTCTGTGGCTGACTGGGCTATCCCTTGGCTCTTTCATGCTTTGCCTTGGCATAAGCGCTGCTGGGCACAAGGGTTCCTGGCAGGGACAGGCTACTGAGGTGGCCAAAGAGAGCAGGAGAGTCACTCAGATCCCCAGGGAGCTGCAGTTTTTGGAGTGCAGTTTGCAAGGCAAGGGCTCTGCTCACCCCCCAGCTTTCCCCTCACATGCTGTGGATTGCTTATCAGATGTTGTTATTTAGACCTGGAAGGGACAAATACCTCCTGGTTTCTCTGACAACGCTTGAGGCTGAGCCACCATGTTTATTACGTTGGCAAACACCTGATAGCCACGGCTTGTCCCTAATGGCATGTCCTGGGAGGCTCCTGGCGTCTCCTTATCTCCACCTTACGATGTTTGCTGTGTGCTCCAGCCCACAAGGTCACCCCTGCCTTTGGCCCCCCACCCACTGCTGAGCGGGGGTCTCAGGTGGGGATGGACCCCAGGTGGGGGATGGACCTCAGGTGGGGGATCCACCCCAGGTGGGGGATCCACCCCAGGGGATGGAGAAGGGGCTGCTGCAGTGGGGTGGATGCAGCAGTGGGAGCTGCTCAGCTCCTTCCCAAAGGTGAGAGCATTTCTGGGGGACAGCAGTGAGCCCCCAGCCCTGCTCCCACACTCAGCCTCACACCTGGCTGCTCTTGGCAGCACTGCCAGGCTCTGTGGCTCAGTTAGGGTCGGACTCAATGATCTTTGAGGTCTCTTCCAACCAGGTTGATTCTATGATTCTATGATCTCTGCAACAGCCTGGGCACAAGCAGGTCCTTTTTTCAGTAAGATGATTTGTGGGAGGGGGTGGCAATAGCTGGCTCAGAAAGTGTTTTCTCACTGCCTCCCCCTCGGGGGTGCTGGGGAGGGCTCAGGGCTCGTGTGGCACCCCCGAGGTGCAGGAGGTGATGCCTC